TAGGAGTTTCATCTTATTACAGCTCGTAGAGAGCCCTGGTGTCATAGTGTTAAGAAACTGTGCTGCAATCCCAAAGGCATGTGCTTAAAATACATCAGCTTCATCCTCAGAAAAGAATGGGCATTTTACTTCTATGTAACCAAATGCCTCTGAAAATCTACTGGAAGGTCACTTATGGGTTAATTCCAACTTGATGGCACACAACAACAACAATAACACAACTCCTTCCACTGGAGGAATTTTGTTCTACTCCTGACTCCATCCTTGGCTTCTTTGACTTCAAAATGGATTGGCATAGTGGCTACAGCAATGGGCTCAAGTGTGTCAGAGATTGGGAGGATGGCACAGGATAGGACAGGGCTCAGGTCTGGTGTTCATAGGGTCACTGTAAGTCATACTGAACTGGACAGCCCCCAAACAACAAAGTGGAAAGCAGGGAGATGAATGCCTCTGTTAGGTGGAGCCTAACCTTGCTGCAAGGGAGGCTGAGGAAGCAAATCAGACTCACTTCAGACTCACAGGGAGCCTGTCCAGACAGTAGAATTTCCCTAGAGGGTTTCCAAGGCTATAAATCTTTATGGAAGCAGGCTGCCTCATCTTTTGCCTGTGGAATGAGTGGTAGGTGGGTTCAAACCATCAACCTTTTGGTTAGCAGCTAAATACCTTAACCACAGTGCCATCAGTGAGACAGCAGGCACTGTATAGTGAGTGGATGGGTTGGGGTGGTAACTGTAGGAAATTCTCCTGACAGAAGAAGGGCAGACTTGGGGCAGTCAGGAAGAGAGAGACTGCCTTTGTGAGCTAGACATTTAGGTCAGTAGAAGAAAGTAAACTTCAATTGTTAGGAGCAGTTGAAGGCCAATGGGTAGAGACAGACAACAGATGAGAATGGCATTTGGGTCCTGTTAAAACAAGTTTAACTGGATTACAGGGTGTGTTCTGGGAAATCAACTTGAGAGAAGTTGAAGGGATAGGGTGGGAAAAGATTAAGAGATTAAGAATTACCTGAAATCAGGCAGATGTATTTAAATTTAACATGGGAATATTGGACACAGTGACAGGTTTTGGTTTTTAAAAAGAAAGTATTTAAGATCAATTAATCTGGCAGCATTTTCAGGGGCAGCTAAGAGATGGCTGTGGTAATAGGGTACAATGGTGGACTAGAAACAGAAATAAAAGGCAGAGGTCCATTTAAAAGAAAATTTGAAGTGGAGGGAGCTGGGAAAACAACAGAACTTTATGTTGAGAATGAAGTTGAAGCTGCTGCTTATAAACCTTCTGAGCCCGAGTGTACATTGTCCTCAGGGTGTTTCTGAGAGGTGAGGCTGGTGCAGCTTGGTCTCATATACTTTGGGCATGTTGTCAGGAGGGGGCTGGTCCTTGGAAAAGGACATCATACTGGGAAAAGTGGAGCATCAGAGAAGGAGAGGAAGACCCTCAACAACATAGATCGACACAGTGACTGTAACAACGGGCTGGAGTACATTAGATGATGATGATGATGATGATGATGATGATGATGATGGCACAAGCTGGGACAGGGTTCACATCAGTCGCTCATAAGGTAGGGGACTCCATAGCATCTAACAATAACAACATTTGAAGCCAGAGAGGCTAAGAGGAGGACAGGTTTTGAGGAGGTAGAAGAACACCTTTCTGATTGTTACCATTGAGTCTTGGATTGTTAAAATAGGCATTTGAGTTTAAAATGGTGCTTGTGCTTCTGGAAACCTGAAAGTGAAGCCAGCTCAGAGCAGCACTCAGGGAAAGTTGTGAAAGGAGCCAGACAGAATGTGCCAGAGCCTGAAGAACTTCTCGTTTAAACGTATCTAGTGTTGACCATGAGGTTGTCAACCAGGATACTCCTTAGAGGCAAGGATGGTTGAAGCCTCATCTCATACTTGGGGCATGTTGTTAGGAGGGGCCAATAGTAAGGATTTACACAGTGACGTTAACAGTGGGCTCCAGGATCTCAGAGATGGCGAGGATGGAACAGGATAGGACAAGATTCATATCTGTGGTTCATAGGATCCTCTGAGTCTTAGTTGACTTGATGGCACATCACAACAACAACAACAACAACATGAACTCTGGTGGCTCTAGTGAGTAGACAGTTGCTTTCCATCAGTTGACTCCACCAGTGACTCTTTTGAGGGAAAGGTGGGCCGTTTCCTCCTGTGTGATTTACAGTTTTTGAAAACCTGCTAGAGGATCAGGTGTAAGTAGATTCTGACTCGATGGCAGTGAATTGTTTGAGTTGAGTGTTGATGAGGTGTACTTTCTACTTCATAAAGTTTTAGTTCTGTTACCTCAAAACAGATCCACAAACAGAAAAGCGAAACAAGCCTTGCTTCCAAGGTGCCTGTGGATGAGCTTGAACCTTTAGCCTATGATTTGCAGTCAAATGTCTTTTTTTTTTTTTGGCCAAAAATTTTACTGAACATTTGACAGTAACTTTGCGCAGCCCAAGGACTCCTCTTATTGATATTATTTTGTTGGGGTTTTTACATTTTTTTTTAACACAACTTTGTTCCTGTTACTCTACTATCCTAATATCTTTGGAGGAGTAAAAACCCCAAACACCCCGTGATTGATACATGTGAGGCTTTTCTCAAGGAAAATGGTCTTTCATGGTTCAGAAGACAATTTCAAGTTCTATCTGCAAGTACATTGTTGTCAGTGAGTGATAGGCTTTAGTGCTACAATAAAACTTTCAAGGGCCCAGGGCCTGTGTAGGGGAAAAGTATAAGGTGGAAACCAATCAGAGAAGGAGAATATCAACGAGAAAAAACCCAACAAACCAACCCCCAAACAATTAAAAAACAAAACCCAGGCACTTCCTCTGAAATCCAGCTCTCACAGGCTTCTCTGTAATAGTTATGTGAGAGGAATGTGCTAAGACCCAGTGAGCCAGGATGTAAAGAACAGACTTCCTCCAGTTGATAAGAAAAATGATAAACCAGAATTCTCAGGGCTGCTGCAGGATGTCCTTGGAGCCTGATGACAGCTCCAATCTCTACTGTACTTAGTAAAATAAAAGTTGTAAAATCTGTTTAGGTCTCTCAAGATCTTTTCACTTCTCGGCCAAGTATATTTAGTCTCTGTCAGTATATACAGGCTTCAGCCTATGATAAGGCAGCCAGGTCTCCAGAGCATGACAACAGGCTAAAGTGTACGACTTGAAAGCTGTTGCTACAAACATGCCTTCTTGATACTTCTATTCGAACTTGATTTCCCTGCAGTCTGTAGCATGTCCCTGCTTGTACTGTGACACGACACGGGATCGCTCAGATACCATTAAAGTGTGTACAGCTACCTTAACAGGAAGCAATTCACCCCTTGTGTAATGTGGAAGACAGTTTGAAAACAACAAAATCCATCCAAAACCCCTCTTAGGTGGGAGCCTGTTATACTGCCGATGTGTTGGCTGGCATGCTTCTCTCCTCTGAATTAGTATTTCGAGTTCTTTAAGAACTTTAAGAACTGTGCTTACCCTGGAATAGGAGATGAGAGAGTCAGGCTCACTGCAAAGGCCCAATGCTTTTCTCTCTCTGTTAGGTGTCTCCTTCTTTGAGATAGCACGTTGACAACTTGGAAATGACACTAAGCCCTTGTCAAAAGTTTCCTCAGCCTTCTGATCAATTGGATTTTAATGTGGAACACAGTTTAATGTGGACGTGTACATTTATAACAGTGAACTCTTTGCTTGTGGATCTAACTAACTTTGGAACACTGCTTCTTTGGCCACATGATTCCCATGCATTGAAAGTTAGCCCACACCTGATCATGTGTGAATAATATACTTTGGGCTCACATTTTTGTGTCGAAACAATAAGATACTAGATCTAGCATTGTTTTTGCAGAGAATGTTCCACTAGTTGATTTGAGAAAAAGAAGCAGAAGTTAAATTGTCTTTGCAAGCTTCCCTTTGCCTCATTCAGCTCCTAATAGGCAAACTACAATTGCCTGAAATTAAGTTGGCAAGACGCAGATGAATATGGATATGAGGCCAGTGTCAAATGTCACCAGGCAGTGCTGTTAATAGACATTACATGACACATCCTAGGTTTAAATAAGTAGGTGGTTGTTGTTGTTATTGTATGTTGTCTGACCCTCCAGCAGGTTTTCAGAGGCTGTAAATCACATGGGAGGAGATTGCCCATCTTCCTCCCACGGAGAAGCTGATAGGTTTGAACCCATTCTTCTCCCGCAGAGCAGCTGGTGGTCTCGAACTGCATGCCTTCAGGATTGCAGCACAGCTTTTTGCCACTAGGCCACCAGAGCCCTTCCCATTGTTGTTCTTGTTGTTATGTGCCATTGAGTCACTTGTGACTCATAGTGACCCTATGTACGACAGCCCTAAACCCTGCTCTATCCTGTGCCAATCTTACTGTCTCTGACACACCCATCTCGATTACCCCAGTCACTGAATCAATCCATCTCATTGAGGGTCTTCCTCTCCTGCGCTGTCTCTCCACCCTCCCAATCATGGCGTCCTTCTCTAAAGACTGGTCCCTCCTTGCAACATGTCCAGAGTATGTCAGAAAGAGCTTCAGAATCCTTGCCTCCAAGGATCAGCCTGATCTCACCCTCTGTAGGACTAACCTGTTTGTTCTTCTAGCAGTCCATGGTATGTATATTCAATACTCTTCTCCAGCACCACAGCTCAAAGGCATCAATTCTCCTATCATCCTGAGTCATTGCCCAGCTTTCTGATACATAGCAAGTAATTGCAAAGACCATGGCCTGGATCAGACACACCTTTGTCTCCAGACTGACATCATTGGTAAAGGATAATATGCTGGCTTTGGAAATAGCATTTCCTTAAACAGTCACAATGCCATCATTTGCAATATAATCAGTGATCTGTATTAAAAATACTTTCATTTGCAGGGCTGGTTGAACTTCTGTGGTGGGTAGAACTTGTTCATAAATATGTACTTATTTTTGTAGTACAATTTTTAAATCTGTTTTTTTAAAAAATAAATCCAGGAGCTGTCCGGTCGTACGCATTGGAACTTAACTTGACAGATTCAGAAAAGGCTATTTGCCTTTATGCAAAATGGCAGATGAATTTCAAAATACTGTATGAAACTACAAACAAGGAATATGTAAGTAAATTTGTTTTTCCCTGTCAGTTGATAGTGGGGATTTAATTCTGATTTTTTAAAAATCTTTTAAATGCATTTATACATATAATATTCCATATATTGGTCAATAGTTAGAACCTTGTTCTTTTTGTTTTAAAAACATAAACACTTTTGTGCAATAATGAATGAATATTTTTTGAAAAAGTGAACTGGGGATGGGAAAGGGTGGGGGGTAAAATGTACAACAATGAATGAATGAAAATCTAACTTATCTGTAAATGTTCATTAATATCACAACTAAAATAAAATTTTCTTAAAGCATACACTTGAAAATATTCTTTTTAGTGAGGAAATTAGTATTTTATTTTGTGAGTTCTTTTAAGTTTTTCTTGAATTAATATAAAGACAAATGATCTGATTACTCTGTGGTGTTCAAGTCTAGTTGTGTGATGTTTTAAAAAATATATTAACATAAAAGCTTGCCCTTTTAAAATAAATTTGTATTACAATCTCCTTTATTTTGTTTCCTTCTCAGTCTTATATTTTAAAGAATTCATATTGTTGTTCATCAACTCAGTAATTTCTTCATGTACAGTTCAGTGGGATTGATTACATTCTTTAAGTTGTACAACCATAAGGATCATTGACACCAGAGAGATACTCTGTAGAAAAATCAACCATACAAGATCAAAACAGCAGCATTTGCCCACAGATAAAAACTCAGAAGGCAGAATGGAGATGAGCATCAAAGGATGGAAGTGGGAAGAGTACTCTTACATTATAGGAATTGTAGTCAGTGTCATGGATCAAAATGTGTATGAATCATTCAATGGAAAGCCAATCTGCTCTGTGTATTTCTATCCAAATTACAATAAAAAGTTGTCATGCAACAATTTCCACTCTCCTTTTCTAAGTTATTCCCCATGAACATAAACTTGCCCCATGAGTTTCCTATCTCTCATGTTTTCAAGTTACTTGTCAAATTTGATCCCATATAGATTGGTTTTAAAAACTCATAATGCTCAGAGCAGACATTCTTTACTAGTCAAGCTAAATGGCTATTCAATTTCAAGAAGACATCAGGGGATATGCTTGAAAGTATGTCAGGGCATATCGTAGTTCATTTGCTCTCATTTTCTTTTAGTTGAGTTCCTGCTGAGTTACAGCCAAATTATTATTTTATTTTTAAAAAAATAATTGTAATAACAGCAGCTCAGGACAGTATCCCATTTCCCTTGAAGTCATTGAGGCTAAGGTGGATTTGTCATGTGAATTGGTATATGTTGTTGTTATGTGCCATCAAGTTGCCTCCAACTCATAGCAACCCTATGTACAATAGCTTTGAACCCTACCCTATCCTGGCCCTGTCTCACTAAATCTGACACACCTACCGCCATTACTGCAGTTACTGTGTCAATCCGTCTCATCTGGGTTTGTCTTCTGCGCTAATGTCCTTCTCCAAGGGCTGGTCTGTCTTGACCACTTGCCAAAGGTATGTGAGAAAGAGCTTCAAAATCCTTGCTGTCAAGGAGAAACTTGGTTTCACCCTCTCTAGGATAGACTTCTTAGTTCTCTTGGTGGTCCATGGTATGTTCAGTACTCTTCTCCAGCACCACAACTCAAAGGCATGGATTCTTCTTCAATCATCTTTAGTCATTGTCCAGCTCTTTTATGCATAGCAAGTAATTGCAAAGACCATGGCCCGGATCAGGTACACCTTCGTTTCTAGACTGACATCGTTGCTCTTTAGCACTGTGGAAGGTCCTTGACAGCTCACTTTCCCAGTGTGGTTCATCTTTTGATTTCCTGACCGCTGGTGTCATGAGTGTTGACTGTGGAGCTGAGCAAGCTGTAACTGTTAACAACCTTCATTTATTCTCCACCTATCATGGTGCTGTCAATTGGCCCAGTGGTGACAATCTTTGTCTTCTTGATGGTGAGCCTCAATCTATATTGAAAGCTGCAGTCCTTGACCCTCTGCAGCAAATGCTTCAGGTCCTCCTCAGTTTCAGCAAACAAGGTTGTGTCATTTGCACAACTGCATAACGCAGGTTGTTGATGAGTCTCCAAATCAAGCAGAGGGCATCCTGGCCGTGGGGGAGGTGTGATTTCAACTGAATTGTCCTGATTGGTGTGCATATTTTATATTCATTATTTGTTCACTGAGCCCAGACTTCTTGTTCTTTTAGAAAACAGTCAACATTCCAGACATTGACACTGCAACATATAATGGAAGTAGTTGTGGCGATGACAAGAATGGTCCCAAAATAGCTGTGCAGTTTCAACGCAGTTTTTCCTGGACTGTGAACTTTACCAAGGAGACAACTACATACTCAATTGATACAATCTCATTTTCTTACAACACTAGTGATAACAGAACATTTCCTGGAGCTAAAGATAAAGGTAACCTTGAGAACTGGATTTGCATGCTATTGTCTTGGGTTTTTCCTTATTAATAATAAAAATAGATCCTTTAAAGACACTTCATTCCTCCCCTCCCTGTACCTACGTGCAATATAGTGTTCAGCAGAGTGATATTTGCTGTCATTTCTTCAGGGCTTTACTCTGTACCAATTACTACCCTAGGTATATGACTTGCAGAATCTCACTATCCTCAGTGGTGACCCTGTGAAGCAGATAGTCTCTCAATATTAGAGATAAAGAAACTGAGGCTTGATGAGATTCAGTGAATTACCCAAAATACAATCTTGTACGCAAGTGAATTGGTGGTATTTGAACCAAAGTTGGTTGCGTGACAGCATTCATGCACTTGGCCATTTATTGCATTTCCTAGTGGGCACTCAGAAAACAAAATGATTGAGGGGAAAAAACCCTTTAGCAGGAACTAAATGTATATATACATTCAGGAGCCTGAAACCGGCAGAATTGCTTAATGTTCAAGTCTCTCTACCAGTTAGATAGGATTTTAACTGAAATGTAAATGATGGTTTATTAAAGGTAAGATAGACATCAACACTGGCTGTGGTTTTGAGACTGTTTCGGGTCAAATCAGGTCATTCTTGTAATTCTCAGAACTGAAATGTGCATTAAGACATTTTGAAGGTATAGATGGTGGAGAATTTTATTTCGTTAAGGACATAGCTCTTTTCTCTCCTCTTTCATTAAGATTGGGTGTTTGTGGCATGCTGTTTTTAGTGGCTCACCTACTCTCTCAGATAGCCAAGCCCTGAAACACAGGTGGATGGGCTGCAGCTGCTCAGACTTCACAGAAGAGCAAACTTATCTGTGCATCAAATGATCAGATTTTAAAGACCTGGAAGTGAGGGAGTAATGAGCTTATGTACAACTTGCAAAGTGGTAGACTGAGAATTAGAGAATATACTGATCTCTTAATTTGAAGGAGTAATGAAGACATATTTATTGGCTGTCATATATTTATCTAGCTTTGTATTCTGTGTTGTCATTCAGAAGTAGCATAAGATTCACCTCCTCAGTCTCCAAGAGCTTAATGAATTGGAGAGACAGCTCAGTTGTCTTCTCTCAAAATAGATGTGAAAATACTGAAGTCAGTGTGATCCCCCATTTTTGGTTGAAAATAGTGAATCCTTACATCTTTTCTGCAATCCGAGGAAAACTACAGACACTCCCTCTGATAAAAGACTAAGCGCTTAGTAAACTTTGCCTGGGAATCCATAGTTCCTCGAGCTCATCTGTTGACCCTTGTGGTTGAGAGTGCCTGATTTATAAGTGCTCTAACAGGTGGTTGTGACCAGGGGCAGAAAGAGGTTCGTGCTCACTTGAGGAGTAGTGAGAAGGCTTGGTAAGATAAGTAGGACTTGAGCTGAAATTTGGCTAATGGTTGAATGCAAGCAAGCAGAGAATTGGCAGCAGGATATTTCCAGTCAGTGGGAAGCATGGGGTGTACAGCAGCAGTTGGAGAGCCGCCCAAGTGAAAGAAAGGCTGTGTATGTAGGAGAAGGGAAATAAAGTTGGCTAGGTGCAGTGGGCCTGAATTGTAGCATTCCTTGAGAGCTAAGGAAAGGCATTTAGCTTCATGGGGTAGACACTGGGGAACCATTGTAGATTTTTAAGCAGGAAAATTACATAACAAATACAGAGGCAGTAGTTTCTAAAGAACATTCTGCAGGATTAATTTGCAAGTGAGAAGAGTGCAGGCAGGGGTGCCAGGTTAAGAGGCTGTTACAGTAATCAAGGAATGATGTGCTTGGACCAAGAGGGTAGCTGTAAAAATGCAGGAGGAGGTCAGTTTGACCCACATCGATGAAGGATTTAAGGGCTTAAAAAAGTTAGCACCCACCTATCCCTCCCACCTTTTACCTTGAATAAGAGGAAGGTATAACCTTATTAGCTTTTATGTAATCAACTATTTTAGACTATTTGAGATTTACAATGGCTTCCTAAATGGACTGTTAATAGTTGTGTTTTTTTTTAAAATAAGCCTCTACTTTCTTTTTAGCTCAACTTTCATTGCTGTCAAGTTGGAACCGACTCATAGCTGACCCTCTAGTGGGTTTTCAGAGACTGTAAATCGTACAGGAGGAGATTGCCCATCTTTTTCCCAAGGAGCAGCTGATGGATTTGAACCATCTGTCTTTGGGTTGGCAGTGCAACTCTTTATCCACTAGACCACCATCTGATAATTGATATAGCTCTGAAGCTGCTATTTTCTTGGTTTAAAAAACTGTTTTTCATGATTAAATTATAGAAAAGTACAGAGAACAATACAGTAGACAGGTACCCATTACCCAGAATAAGTGATGGTCATTTAATAATATGTGCTTTATGTTTACTTAAATCAGTACAGATAATCCCTGAGGTTTCCTTTGTACCCACTTCTAGTTCCATTTATTCTCCTCTCATTCCCTCCACAGAAGCCAGCCTTCTCAGGAATGTGATGTGAGTTTTTCCTGCCCATGTATTTATATTTTACTACGTGTCCACATATCTGTAAAACCTTTTTATAGTTTCATAGTATAACTTGATTGTGTCTACAGCTTGTTGGTTTGTTTTTTTTTAAATATTTCTGTATACCACTGAAGGAGCTCTTGTGGCCTAGTGGTAAGGAATTGCACCACTAACTCAAAGGTATACATTTCAAATCCACTGGTACTCCTCAGGAGAAAGATGGGCGGTCTCCTCCTGTACAATTTACAGCCTCTATAAACTTGCTGGAGGCTAAGAGGAAGAGGTTCTATAAGTTCATTATGGCTATTGTAGTTGATCTTTAGAAAATTAGCAGACAAGAAGGACTTACTATAAAACCTTGAATTAATCCACCTCTGTTCTTCCTTGTTTAATCACCAAGTCCTGTTGGTTCGGCTTTAGATGGGCATCTGTGCTCCTTCCCTGTGGTCCCTCCTCATCCTAGTTTAAGTAATCTCTCGCCTTTCACCTTAGCCAGACCTCAGCCTTCTAACTGCTTTTATTCTCAACTGGTTTCCTTTATAAAGGTTTTCCCCACGCCTAGCAATCATACAATTTTATGATCGTCCTCAAAATATGTGTGTGCGATTTTCTCCTTTAGAAAACTGAGACTAACAAAACGAAAACTCAGGCTCTCCTTAGGTGATAGAAGAGGCTTCGATGTGTGATCAGCCACTTGGCAACTTAACTTTCCTTTTCACCCTTCTTAACTTTCTCTCTCATGTTCCAGCAGCAGAAAATTTGTCATTCCCCAAGTGCACCATGGCTTTTGTCTTTTACGGAGTGGGGTGGAGGAGGTGGAGAACAGGAGGAAACTGCTAAAAATATATTTCTATTGGCACTTTTTTCCAACCTGCTTGAAAACAACTATTGTAAATTTTGTCTTATAGGCGTTGTGACTGTTTCTTTCCCTGAGGCATTTGACATTCCATTAGACAGCATCTTTAGATGCAATAGTGTATCAACTTTAGAAATGGGTGATGTTGTTCAGCTCTGTTGGGATATTCATGTGCAAGCTTTTGTCCAAAATGGCACAGTCAGCACCAAAGGTGAGTCCTTAAAGTATATATTTCTCTACTTTAGTCCTTATTTAAGATTAGACTATACCATCCAGTTTTAGTTGAAGGCATTATCTGAAAATATTTTCATAGTAAGGTTTATTTGTAGCTTGCAGATCATAGAGACTGCTTTTGTTGTTGTTGACTGTAAAGCTTTTAAAATAAATGTGCTCTTATGTGCCATCGCTTCGACTACGACTCATAGCGACCCTATGAACAATAACTGAACTTTTTGCTATCCTGAGACAACCTCACTGTCTCTGTCACACCTCACCCTATTGCCACAGTCACTGTGTCAGTCTATCTCATCAAGAGTCTTCCTCTCTTGTGCAGATTTTGTGTTAAAATAAATACAGCAATTGTTATTCTTGTGAAACTTGCTGGTTGTAAGTTTAGGACATACGTTTTGTGGAATAGTCTCCACCTGTAGTAGTGCAGCGGGTAAAACATAGTCTTTGAATAGACTCTCAGGTAGCTGGCTCATCAGTTTCAAGGGCCAAGTTTAGAAATTAGATTTCTAGGTCCTCATCTTTGAGTTTAGGGAATGCTGGTGGCCTAGTAGTAAGGAGCTGCGCTGCAAACCCGAAGGCACGCAGTTTGAATCCACCAGCTGCGCTTTGGGAGAAGGATGGGCAGTCTCCTCCAGTGCGATTCACTGCCTCTGAAAACCCGTTGGAGAGTCAGCTATGGCTTGGTTCCGACTCAACAGCAGACACACAACGACAACTTTGATTTTATGGAGTCTCTGAGAAGTGCAAATGCTTATGTGCTCTGCTGCTAACTGAAGGGCGGGCAATTCAGATCACCTTGAGCAGCCTCCGAAAGATGATAGCTCTCTAGCACACCGAGCTTCTCCGTGCACATGAGGTCACACTGAAGATTAACTTGATGGTACCTGGTTTGCTTCATTTTGCATGTGTGATTTTAAGAAAATGTAGTTTCTCATTCACCAGGTCTGGGAAATGTACCAACACTTCCCAAGAAGAGGTTCAAATACCTGTGATTTACTAGAAGGGGTAACAAGAGATTCATTTGTATTTAAATCTTTTTGTGATTTATAAACTTTTTTGTTCTGGTAGACAGTATACTTTTTTTATGATGATTAGACACAGAGAGGGGCAAAATGTTTTCATACTGAAATCTCTGAATTTCATGTCAGAAGCCAGTGAAGTTCTTTGGTAATAAAGGATTGAAAGGTCTGAAAATGACAAGTGTACAGCCATGTGTGAGTGGAGAAAGCCTTTCTGTGTGTCCTGAGCTTTTCTGCTGGATCTTACTCTTAAAGTTGGTCTGTGAACAAAATATTCCTTCGAGTTGTGGTATTGGGGGAGAGTACGGAATGTCTCATGGACAGTCAAAAGAACAAACACATAGGTCCTGGAGAAAGTACAGCCAGAGTGCTCCTTGGAGGCAAAGATGAGAAAGCTTCATCTCACACACTTTGAGCATGTTGCTCGGAGAGACTACTCCTTGGAGAGGGACAGCATGCTTGGGAAGGTGGGGGTGAGCCAAGGAGAAGATGATCCCTCAGTCAGATGTGACTGTAGCAGTGGGCTCAGTGGAGATGGTGATGAGTGGCACAGCATAGGATAGGGTTTGGGTCTGTTGTTCATAGGGTTCACTATGAATTGTACTCAACGGCACCTAACAAGAACCCAACAACCGCAGTAACTCTTTTGGATTTCTATTGTGAGAAATATTATGTTAATATAAAAGGTCCATTTTAGTTTCTGTTGCCATCTGATGTTTGTTTTAGAGTTTCTGTGTGAAAAAGATAAAGCTTTGACAACAGTGGCACCCATCATTCACACCACTGTGCCATCACCTACTGCCACACCCACTCCAAAGGGAACACCAGAAGTTGGAAACTATTCAGTTCATGATGGCAATACTACTTGTCTTCTGGCTACCATGGGGCTGCAGCTGAACGTCACCCAGGATAAGGTAGAGTGGTCTGTTTTTATTGCTATTGACTTGTTGAGTTACATTATATTGGAGTTCCTATAACCATGGAGAGTTATTGACGATTTAATGATACTGTTATCACCAGGAGGAAACCTAACAGTTTAAAGAAGTCTTTGGCATTCAGAATCTTTTTACCATCAGTAGATCAGACTTCAAATACCTGTTCTTGGGTTACCTTTTATTAAAATAACTGATGGTCACACAAAATTAAGAAGAGCAACCCATGATTTTGGGGCTCCATTAAAAAGCTGTCTGCATGAGATGAGAAGGCTAAAGTTACTCTAAAATGTAGATGAGAAGACAGAGAGCAGAGAACTAGAGATCTGGAAAAGGAAAGGACCTGGATGAAATGAGGTGAGAATGCTGATACACTGAAAAATAACTGTCACAGAACAACTTGTGTAGAGCCTGTTGGCTGTATAAACTTTCACCAGAAATACAATAACATATCATTGTTTTTTTTTGTTGTTGTTATGTGCCGTCGAGTCACTTGTGACTCATAGCGACCCTATGTACAACAGCCCTAAACCCTGCTCTATCCTGTGCCAACCTCACTGTCTCCAACACACCAACCCCCATTACCCTAGTCACTGAATCAGTCCATCTCATCGAGGATCTTACTCTCCTGCACTGTCCCTCAACACTCCCAAACATGACGTCCCTCTCCAAGGACTGGTCCCTCCTTGCAGCATGTCCAAAGTGTGTCAGACAAAGCTTCAGAATCCTTGTCTCTAAGGAGCAGCCTCGTCTCACTCCCAGAACGAACTTGTTTGTTCTCCTAGCATTCCGTGATATATTCAGTACTCTTCTCCACAGTTCAAGGGCATCAATTCTCCTTCTATCATCCCTGTTGTTGTTGTTGTTATGTGCCGTCGAGTTGCTTGTGACTCATAGCGTAAAGACCATGGCCTGTGTCAGGCACACCTTAGACTTCAGACTGACATCGTTACTCTTGAGTACTTTGGAGATGTCTCTGACAGTAGGCATTTCTCTCCCTCTCTTTTTTTAAATGTAATGCTACAGTCAACACTCTTGGCACCAGCAGCCAGGAAATAACAAAACGTATTGCAATGGGAAAATCTGTTGTTGACTCTATGAGTCGCAAACGACTCGACGGCACATAGCAACAACAACAATGCTATGGAGAACAGGAACCCTGGGCAGAGCAAACCAGGGAGAACATGGCTGCCTTCTCTCCCCTCTCCCCTTGGGGCGTAAAGCCCCCTCCTGCCTTAAACCCTAGGCCAAGCCTGGCTTGCCTGGCTCCTGGAGGCAGAGTAGTCCTTCACGTCAAACACAAGCCCGAAAAAGCATTCAACTCCAAAAGCTTCCACAACACCTGTGCACACAGCACCATGCTCTGGGGTTTGTTTGGTTTTTTTTTTATGTAATGAACATATCATTACATATTTTTTAAAAGAATAGAATTGCCTGATCTTTATTTTAGTCTGTTTAAAATCTAACTCAACACATTTGGCTGAAATGCCCTGTAGGTCTGGAGGAGAACTGTGCAGCTAGCTGTCTGTTGTCCCTGCTTGGATTGCCTAGATAGGCTCAGCTACATAATGGCATCTCGCTGCAATGTTCCACTGAGGCTATAGAGGGAGTATCAACAAACAAGTGCCATTGCCAGGGTACTGTGACTTATACAAGCCAGACAGATGGCTCTTGTGTGTTTTTGTTTAGTTCATTACAGAGGAAGCTTCCTCCTCCTTTTTAAACAGTCTTCTGAGTAACAGATTGAGAGTCTGTGCCAACTTTGCTTGAAAGTCAGATACTGTAAAATTACGTCTCTAAAGGATGTTTAAAAAATTTTTTTTAATTCTATAGTGGATAGAAATTTATGCTACCAAGCCAAAGGTGGGTGACTTTAATCTGTGACCCTCAGGCCTTGTTTTAATTGTTTTTGCTCAAACATTCTTCTAGGTGGTATAGCACTGGTCTGTCCATTTGCTGTACAGAGGTAATCTTGTGGTTGCTGTGATGCTAAACACTGTGACACTGAGGTGTCAAATGCAATAATGGTTACCCATGGTGGACAGTGTTTGGTGGAGCTCCTCGGTTAAAACAAGCTTGGGATCAGGAGTGGCGTCCACTTCCAAAATAGCTTCCCTCTGGAAACTCTGTGAACTTGGAGAAACGATGAAAGTTATATAAGTGTTCTGGTCTTTCATTCATAGGGTCACACTATGAGTCGTCTACAACTCGACAGCACTTAACAACAACCAACATTGTAAACTTGGTATTTTATTCAAGTATAAGGCTTTGATGTAGGCTTTTATAGTAATCTGTATGTTTCTCTGCTCTTCTTCCCTTGAAGACTGTTTCAGTTATTAATATCAACCCCAATACGACGGACTTCTCCGGCAGTTGCCACCCTCAAGACGCTCTACTTAGGTTGAATAGCAGCAACATCAACTATCTTGAATTTCTCTTTGCTGTGGTGAGTAACATAGTCTTCTAAAGTTTGGTTCATCCTCTGAGAAACACATCTGAAAGTTTAAATGGTTATCTAAGGGGAGTATTAGCTTTATTTCCATTTAAACTCTAATTATAAGCATCCGTCCAGTGATCCCTGATAATCCTTTAGGGTCTCCTCAAAGGGTTGGATTAACAATAATGATTAACTATCATCAAGAGTGGCCATACTCTATCCAAAGAACAATAATTAGTCTCTAATTCACCTTAAGCAGCACAGGAAGGAGGGTGAGGACTAGAAGATAGATATGGATATGTAATTAATTGCTTCCATGAACAACTGTCTCCTTTGCTAGAAGAGTGAAAGAACTGGGTGGTGCCTTAGTATTATTACTGAACATTTTAATCAGAGATTGCATAGAAAATCCTGCTCAAAAGGGGGTAAATGTAGAATATAATTTCAAATTCTCATGGACTCTCAACTTTATGGAGTGATCAACCCCTGAAACTGTTGCCTTGAGGTAATTTTTAAACCTTAAACCCGAAACATTCCCTGAAATATTAATACCAAACATTCATTTCACTTAACTGTTAAAGAATGTCTGTCTTTAGCATTGTACTGTTTTAAGATCTATCTATATGAAATCAAAGTGACAATAGCAACTTGAAAGATTAGGTAAGAACCTTAGAAACAGTGGGTTTAAATTAATAATGGAGGAACAACTCAGAAAAGGAGGGTGTGAATGTTTGCATAATTCAAAGAATGTAGTCAGTGCCACTAAATTGGACATGTAGAAACTTGATGTATATTTTGCTGTGCATATTTTTAACAGCAATGACAAAATGAATGAAATTTTTAAAAAGAGTGGATTATTGTATAATCTAGACATAATATCCACTCTTATTTTTTTTATAATATCCACTCTTAAAAAAAACATTTAATTTGTTGTTGCCGTTGAGAATATATACAACAAAACATAACAGATTCAAGTTTTTGTATGTCCAATTCAGTGACATTGATTACATTTTGAGTTACATAGCCATTCTCACCCTCTTGTTGCACTACTGACCCAAAGGCAGGTAGTTCAAATCCACCAACTACTCCTTGGGAGATACATGGGAAATCTCTTCCTATGCTATTTATAGCCTCCTGAAAACCTGCTAGAGGGTTACCTATGAGTCAGTTGCAATTCAGTGGCAGTGATTTGAGTTGAATCTAGACATATGCAAGTAATTTTCCAAATTAAAAACTCATTGCTTTTGAGTTGGAGCCTACTCATAGCTAACTGTGGCTGTAAATTGCCCATCTTTCTACTATGATGCCACTGATGGATTTGAACCACCAGAGACATGTGGCCCAACTCCCTGTGGATGAGGTCACTAGAGCTCCCTGATTATTCAGGTAATTCTGTGATGATATTTTTCTCTCTTTTTGGTCAGAAAAGTTTCATGTTTGTCCCCTAATATTTTTGGAGGGCATACTATTTTAACCAGAATATCATAAATACAGATAACCAGCTTTGAGGACTTACTACGTAAAAGCTCTATCCTTAGTGTATGCATTAATTCATTGAACCAAGATAGTTGATAATGATAGCCTGGAGCGTTTTGTGGTTCTTCAAGCTTACATCAAGGACTGGACCTTAAACAAAGGTTTCAAGTTAAACATACCAGTTTCACTTCTTGCTAGTGTCAGTTAATCACCTTAGGCCTTTACTTCTACCTCCTCAGAAACAATAAGCATATTATGACAAATGACAGTGTGGAACACAGTAATGCAGAGACTGACTCTTCAGCTATCTGTGGACAGACAGAATATGTTGAAAACAATGGCTATAAAACAGTTTTCCAAACTAGGAGCTTTTCTGTTCACCCTTTGCCCCAATCCCTCAGTTATCCTTCTACTTTCACAGTAGAAGTCTTATGCAGTGTTTGTCCTTTTGTGAATGAGTTATTTCACTCGCATAATGCCTTCTAGATCTCCCATGCTGTGCCATATTTTATAAATACTTTGTTGTTCTTTAGTGTTGCATAGTATTCCATTATGTGAATTTATCCCCATAGGAGTTTTTGTATAAGTGAATCTTCTAAAAGTTCTGACTTCTGTCAGATTGCTTTATCTAGGAATGGAGAAATAGCAGCAACATCTGCTAGATAAAAAGTAGATATATTCATTATTGTAGAATGACTAGAAGGATCCAAGAAGGGTAGGAGAGTTTGGAAGCAAAGGGACGAAGACGTGCAGGGGGAGGGGGATTAATCATGGGGTTGTACAATTTGTTGGGTGAGAAGGTGAGGGAAATCGAATGAATTTGTTCTTGAAAACAATGTATTCTAGTTTTGTAAATAAACTAGTAGAATTTTTTTAAAAGTAGCTAATATCTACACTAGGCATCTTGCATCCAATACCTTTTTTCTCTATGAACTCCCTGCCAAAAATGTAAAGATTATTCAACTGCCGTTGAATCAGAACCAACTCATAGCTGACTCTCTAGCAGGTTTTCAGAGGCTGTAAATCATGTGGTAAGAGATTTGCCTATTTTTTTCTTGTGGCGCAGCAGTTGGTGGAATGGAATTGAATGGCCTGCCTTTGGGTTGGCAGCACAACCCTTTACTCACTAGGTCACCAGAACTCCCTTGATTATATTGGACAATTATATTTGAGAAAGGTTTACAATTTCCCCCATAGCATTCAGGTTGTCCCTCTGTCTTAGTATAAATACAGCCACTGAGTTATTAAAAACATCTGATTAAGTTTTTCCTCTTTGATAGGGTAAGAGTGGAAGCGTCCCTTGACATGTTCTCTTTTAAACTTGTCTCATTGGGATCACCGTCAGTAAGAATGAGGAAAGAAATCCTTGAGCTTCATTTTTTTACAGTAATTGAATTCTTTCTAATTATGGTTAGCACCATAAAAGGAACATGATTTCTTCTTTTTGTCATAGGGAAATACTGCGATATTCATTTTGCATTGCAGACTGTTTTAAACTGTAACCCAAAATAGTGACATTTTAACCGTACTACATACAAACACTGAAAAGTCAGGAAACACCCGCAGTGGCATCAGAATTTAGTTGGAGCAACCTTATGAACAACACATCTGAACCCTGGCCTATCCTATGCCATCCTCATCATTTCCAACACACCTTAATCTTTAAACTGACATCATTGCTATTCAGGACTTTGGAGAAGTCCCTGACAGCGGAATTTGCCAATGAAATACTTCTCTCCTGATGTCCAGACTTCTGGTACCAAGGGTGTTGATTATGGATCCAAGTAAGATGAAATAGTTGACAACTCCAATCTTTTCTCCATCTATCTATTCTTTATAGTAGGTAAGGTGCACCTGATTCAAGCCATGATCTTTTCGGTGACTTGTTTTGCATTTGAAAGCTGGACAGTGAATAAAGGTGTAAGAAGAAAAAGAAATGCCTTTTTGAGTTGTGGTGTTGGAGAAGAGTACTCAATAGCCCATGGACTGCCCAAAGGACAAACAGATATGTCTTGGAGAAAGTGCAGCCAGGGTGCTCCATAGACGCAAGGATGGTGACTCTTCATCTCACATGTTTTGAGCATGCCATTAAGAGGGGCCAGTTTTTAGAAAGGAACATCATGCTGGGAAAGGTGGAGAGTCAGCAAAAGAAAAGAAGACCTTCAACAAGAAGGATTGATAAAATAACTGTAGCAGTGGACTTAAGCATATCAGAGATGACAAGGCTGGCACAGGATATGGCAGGGATCAGACCTGTTGTTCATAGGGTCACTCTGAGTCATCGTTGACTCGGCAGCACCCAAAAACAACATGTGCAGGTTCCTACAAAGAAGAAAGCCTGTACTCTTAAGATGACCACAGTTTAAAGGTAGAAACGTATAACTTTTTTTTGTGTGTAGAAGACCTGGATTGCTGTACTAAAGCTTTTTAACTTGATTCTGTGGGCAATAGAATATGATGGACGGTATGATGAATGCTGTACCAGAGGTGAAAACAAAGCACTACAGTAGAATGAAGAGGGAGAGGTTTTCATTTTGGATAGCTAACATTTATGCTCATGAGGATAAGATGATGAGGGGAATGTATAGATTATACTTCTGTGGTTGTGTTGTGTGCCATCGAGTCAGAACTGACTCATAGCTGACCCTTCAGTGTGTTTTCAGAGGCAGGAACTCGCATGGGAGCAGCTAGTGGATTTGACTTGTGCACCTTTGGGATTGCAGCATTGCTTCTTACTGTTGTTGCTGTTCGTCGGTCCTGTAGAGTCAAGTACAACTCATAGCGACCCTATAAACAAAAGACCTAAACCCTGTTCTATCCTGTGGCATCCTCACACTTCCTGACACACTAGAGCCCACTGCAGCAGTCACCATGTCAATCCACCTGGTTGAGGGTCTTCCTCTTCTTCACTGACCCTCCATCCTTCCCAGCATCATGTCCTTCTCTAAGGAATACCCTCTCCTGGCAACATGTGCAACGCATGTGAGGTGAAGCCTCATCATCTTTGCCACCAAAGAGCACTCTGGCTGCACCGTCTCCAAGACGGTGTTTGTTCTCTTGGCCGTCCATGGGATGTTCAGTGCTCTTCTCCAACACCACAGCTCAAAGGCATTTATTTTTCTTCTATCATCCTTATTCATTGTCCAGCTCTCAGATGCACAGCAAGTGACTGGAAAGACTATGGCCTGAATCAGATACACCTTAATCCTCAAACTGACATCATTACTCCTCACTAATTTGGAGAAGTCCCTAACTGCAGATTTTCCCAGTGCAGTATGTTTCCTGATTTCCTGACTGCTAGTACCATGGGTGTTAATTGTGGATCCTAGCAAGATGAAGCTGTTGACAGTTTCAATCTCCTCTCCATCTATCAGTCCAGTGGTAAGAATCTTTGTTTTCCTGACGTTGAGATGCAATCCATACCAAAGGCTGCAGTCCTTGATCTTCTGCAGCAAGTGCTTCACGCCCTCACTTTCAGCAAGCAAGGCTGCGTCATCTGCGTAGCGCAGGTTATTGATAAGTTTCCCTCCAATCCTGATGCCACATTCCTCATAGAATCCAGCTTCTCAGATAATTTTCCAGCATACAAATTGAATAGGTGTGGAAAGAGAATACAACCCTGGCACACTCCCTTCTCAATTCCAAACCATGCAGTGCTCACAGAAAAGATTGAAACTGTCAATAAATCAATCTTATTTGGATCCCCAGTTAACAGCCTTGGTACCATTAGTCAGGAAATCAGGAGACGTATTGCACTGGGAAAGTGTGCAGTTAGGGACCTCTCCAAATTGGGAGTAATGATGTCAGTTTGAGGACTAAGGTGCATCTGATTGAGGCCATATTCTTTCCGAACACTTGTTGTGCATCTGAGGGCTGGACAATGAACGAGGATGAAATTTCTTAGGAGTGTGTTATTTTGTTTTTTATTCCTCACTGCCTCTATCCGGTCACAGCTTCTGTCACCTCATTCCTGGACTATTTGTGGTTGTTGTTGTGTGGCCATGGAGTCAGAACCAACTCATAGCTGACCTTTCAGCAGGTTTTCAGAGGCAGTATATCACACAGGAGGAGACTGCCCATCCTTCTCCCTCAGAGCAGCTGGTGGATTTGAATCTTGTGCCTTTGGGATTGCAGTGCAGTTTCTTAGCACTAGGTCCCCATTTAGGAGTATTTAGACAACTTTCTAAGTCACCCCTTCTTTACCTTTCCTTTCCTAACCACTTTTTGCAACAACTTCATCTTCCAAAAGGTTGCCCACTAGTAACAGTGAAACTCCACAGCAGCATAGTTGAAACCTATCCCTACCATATCGTTCACGTCCAGCCTTTGTGTCCTTTGCTTCATCTTCATGATTCTTACGCTTCCTTCTCACTGGCCTCTGTATACATTCCATGAGGCCGGAGAACATAATGGTAGCCAGTACTCAGGCTCTGCAGCCAGGATTCCTGGGTTCAAATTCTAGGTCACCACTCCCTTACCAACTGTAGTACATCCATCCTTAGGGAACTCTGAAGACATAAGAAGATCAAGATTAGTTGAAAAGTCAGCAGTTTAAACACAAACTCAGAAGACATAAGATCAAAATTAGTTGAAAAGTCAGCAGTTTAAACACACCAGATGAATAAGAATGGGGAAAAAATGAAGCAGTTCTTCCTGATAAAAATTACAGCCTTGTAGACCTGATGGAAAGTGGCCACAAGAGGGAATGAATGACCTTGATGGCCACGGGCTTTTTGTTTTGTTTCATCCTGTCCTTACTGGAAATTACTTAGCCTAGTGCTTCCATTGAGCTCTGGTGGCCTGCTGCCAAGAAGCTGTGCTTCCTGCAGCTGTGCTGCAATCCCGAAGGCATGCAGTTCAAATCCACCAGCAGCTCCACAGGAGAAGGATGGGCATTCTCCTCCCATGCGATTAACTGCTTCCGAAAACCTGCCAGAGGGTCAGCTGTGGGTCAGTTCTGACTCTATGATACCCAGTGGTACTTCCATTACCCCATCTCAGAGCAGAGCTGGTAACAGCATCTGCTATATGGGGTTGTCACATTTGATGCTTCATATGTAAAGCTTAAAGTTTTCAATGTTGTTGTCCTCCTGAGTACAGTTCTTTTGTAACTGCTGTTCCTTAGGCTATTAAAATACGCCCTTTCCGCTGGTTTCTGATGGAATCCTGCCCAGGTCAAACTCCCCTTCCCTGCTCAGAAGTCACATCTCTCCTATTGTCACACTTCCTGTTTTGCAGTGTAGCTATGCATTCCTATCTTCCCTGACAGCTTATAAACTTGGTGAGGACAGGATTCAAGTTTGATTTCATTTGGCCAGCTCTCTGGGACACTGAAACGTATCCACGAACACAACAATAAGAAAGAATGCTGATCAGATTAGGGGTCTTGGTGATGCAGCCATGTAAAACACTTGGCTACTACCCAAAAGGTTGGTGGTTTGAACCCACCAGCCGCTCTGCAGGAAAGAGCTGTGACAGCGCCACTCGGGCGGAGAAAGTTTGGCAGTCGGTTTCCATAAAGATGCACAGCCTTGGAATTTCTATGGGACCATTCTCCTATGTTGTATCGAGTCACAATGAGATGAAATGACTCATTTTTAAAAAAATATTGTTTTGTGATATTAACAAAAGTTTACAGAGAAGTTAGATTTTCATTGTTGTATATTATCCTCCTTCCCAGTTCACTTTTTAAAAAAAGTATTCCTTCATTGTTGTACAGTTACCTCCCTCCTCCCTTCCCCCCAGTCCACTTTGCAGTGTACCTCTTATTCTGGGCTGCTGTTTTATATATATATATAT